ATCTTGGTACAACATTGTAGAGAGCATGCTCAGTCATGCTCCTAACTCCCAGTGCATTGTAAGGACCTGCCGCTCCTGTTCTCCCCAGCTCCTATGGCATCAGAGACTTTTCAGCTGTTAAAACCAGGCCAGATGTACTTCGGTTTAGATTTTTTCTCACACAGATTTTCTCACAGGCATTTCCAGAGACATCAGCTGCACCATCCAAAAGTTAGTCACTAAAAGGATGCATGAACATGTAAATAAATTTACTGAATGCACACATACCCCTTTCCATGGAAGCACAGGATGATTTTGGATTTCTCGATGGTGGAAACAGGTGTAACTCCAAGCAATGAACTGAAACTAAAGAATGAAAAATTTACATTAAATAAGAACAGAAAAGAGTGCTGGATTATCCACTATCTTGCATGAGAAATAGCCTACACTTCTTATATTCTAGAAAGACTGGATTAAATAATCAAACTGCAGCATAAGGAATAATTTCTCATAGTCGAGACAGGCACAGAGATAAATTTACTGGTCTTTATTCCTGAATGATGATGAATCTGAGAATGATTAATGGATTTCCCACGGAATACATAAAGAAGTGCCTTTTTTTACCAGTGACAACACAAATATCAAATATTTTATTGAACTCTGCTAGAGATGAACCACTGGATGGCCATTTACTGATTGGCCTGAAAGTGTCACTGTAGCTGCTGCCTTTGCATTGCCTGTCTGAGCCAAAGCAAATTTATAAGCTGGATCTACAGCTCCCCATAGTTTTTCTGCTGATTTTAACTATTCTGACTCAAGGTGTGGCTTACCCTGAGGAAGTTAAATGATACTGCCCCAGGGAGATACTTAAACTGCATTTCTGCTGGAACCTGTGGCTGCCTTAAAGAGGATGGGCTATATTAGCCACGGTCCCACTCAAACCAAGCAAGGGGCTGAGATGTTGTGTCTAAGCAGTACTTAAATTTTTACTGACCTGAAACCAAATTTTCTCTGCCTTTTTTTTTTTTTTTTCAGCAGAGGGCCCCAAACTTGGTTGATTTACCCTGTTGATGGGACAATAACATTAACATTAACAGATATCCCTGGGCACTGTTAAAACAGAAAGGGAACTTGCTAAAATATGGATGTTTACACTTCAACTCATCAGACAACATCCTCAGCCATCACCTGCATCTCTCTGTTTATCTGCCTCTCTCTCTCTCTCTTTTTTTTTTTTTTTTTTTTTTTTTTTTTTTTTTTTTTTTTTTTTTTTTTTTTTTTTTTTTTTTTTTTTTTTTTTTTTTTTTTTTTTTTTTTTTTTAATGGAAAACCCTTCCTCAAAGGGACACCAAGACTTAGGTTATTACATAGAAAGAAGATGTGATGAGTGCTTCTTATCAGCTATTCTTTCTTTCCTTTTGGACTTCTCTGCATATGAGCATTCTAGATATTGCTTTAGAGGTATCTCCATAAACAGTAAAAGGGAGCCTATAAGTCTAAATAATGAATTCTGGATCTCCCAGCTGCGACAAGGTGCATTATTTTTAAGTCTGGAGCTTAATGCAGACAACAGATTTGGAAGATTTGAATGCTGTTTGTTGAGTTTGTCCCTATAACTCTCTATAAGACAGGGAAATACTGTCTTTATTTTAAAAGTTGGTTTTTCTTCTCTAATTACACCACTGTCAGCTCAGAAAAGTATTTATACCTGTAGATGTTCTGCTTCACTCCATCTGAATTCTGCTTGAACTTTTTTCCCCTGAAATTCAGTATTGATAAGGCTGACATCATGATATAGTTTAACATACTTGTGACTGAACTTTCCCTCACGTTTTGGTTAGATCAACAGCTTAAATTTGAGGGAGTAACATTTCCTACACACATCCTGATTTCATATGTGAATGGCAGCTTTAACTAAGAACAGGCAACTATTCCAACAAGCTGTGCCAGGTCAGGTGAGGTAGGAGAAACAGGTGACCTCATTTCTTTCCACCTGCCGGTGGTATCAGCACAATGGCTCATTATTCCTCTGCTTATTTATGGGCTTCCGTATATTCACCCTTCCAGTATCCGACCATATTAGTACTGAATCTCTATTTGTACCTCCTCCTCTTTTCTAAAGTGGGGAAAAGAGGCTTTTAAAAATCATGGGCATTATGAGTCTCCCTTTTGTCTGGCAGATGGCAATGCTGAGATTCAAACCTATCGGAAGATGAGCGGCTCTGTGCAGATCTTTGAGTATAATACAATAACCTAAACTGGAACGAGACGACGTGGTCTGAGCACGGCAACATGAGATGAGGCAAACATCTCTCCCTTTCTCACTGCTTGGGAAAGGTCTCCACGATGGTTCAGGCAGACCTGAGGGCCCTGGCCCCCCCTTCGGGAGGAGGCTGAGCTCCAGCCCTACACTTTGAGGGCAGGCGGGCGCGCAGGGCGTGACGAGGCATCAGTAACCCCGGGCCCTTCCGCACGCTTCCCTCGGGCTGGCGTGAGAGGGACGGAGCTGCCCGGGAAGGCAGGAACGAGGGGCAGGACGTGTGCCGGCGAGCTCGGCAGGACGGAACCCCGTGCTGAGGGTGCTGAGGGTGCTGAGGGCGCTGAGGGCGGGCTCTGCCGCCCCCTGCCGGGCGCTCCCCGCCCGCGCCGCCTTCCGCGCTGCCCGCCCGCCGCCGTGTGGCGCATGAAGTGCGGGAAGTGCGGGCAGTCACGGACTTGCTCAAGCAATGAGGGGATGGGGGGACTCAACCGGTTCCCCGAGCAGCCTGTTTCAACGCCTGACCACCCTTTCCATAGAGAAATTTTTCGTAATACCCAATGTAAACGTCCCTGGTGCAACCTGAGGCCATTTCCTCTCGTCCTATTACTTGTTACTTGGGGGAAGAGGCTGACACCCAACACTCACTACAGCCTCCTTTCAGGTAGTTGTTGAAAGCGATAAGGTCCCCCCTAAACCTCCTCTTCTCCAGGCTGAACAGCCCCAGCTCCCTCAGTTGCTCCTGCTAAGACTTGTGCTCCAGACCCTTCACTAGCTGTGTTGCCCGTCTCTGGACACACTCCAGCACCCCAATGTCTTTCTTATAGTGAGGGGCTCAGAGCTGAACACTAGATTCAAGGTACAGCCTCACCACCACCCAGTACAGTGGGACAATCACTGCCCAAAATCTACCAGTTTCTGACAAATGCCATGATGCCATAAGCACCTGAGAGCAATACAAGCTGGTTTTTTTCAATGTCACAGGTCATTGCACAGCCTCTGATTCTTCCGTCACTATCTGTAGCATAAACCTAAGGCAGAACTGCAGTCTCCGGCATCCCACCCAACATGAGTTCTTCTGTGTATTCACCAACCATGGGTTGGTATTATATTGGTATTATATTCACCATGGGTTGGTGAATATAATACCAACAAAAGTATCCATCAAGATCTTAATTCCTGTAGCCATAGCCACTCTGGGGAAATGACTATCCAATGTCCATTTTTGAAAAAGCAGAGACCAATTATTCTCTATCAAAATGAAAGTTGACTTCCTAAAATGGAAGCTCTGAAATGCAGTACCACTAAAGAAAAGACTGTGAAGAACCTAGAAAGCAGTATTTGCAGAATGTGTGTGCTGCTGGAATTGAAAGCATTTGCCACGATTTAAATTACCTATAAACAAGGCTGTCTGCATGAGGATTCCTCCATAAATGTTTCCCTTTCTCAGTCTCAAAACTCCGGTTTTGGGAAGTCTGTGTACAGACATGACGTGGGACCAGATCCCACAGCAATGCACTCTGAACCACACACCCCACAAAGCAAATGAACACAATGTGAAATAAAAAGTGACTCTTCTGTGATGGCTTAAAACTGTCTCATCTGAGGCTACCACGGTCATCTCTCTCTTTTCCTTCCCTCCCCTCCCAGAAGCTGTCATCTGTCCCCCAGCTGAATTTGAGGAATGTGATTTCAGTTTAGTTTAGAGATGGCCCTAGAACAGCTTTTGAGCATACAAAATATTATACTACCTCATTGTCTGCCTTCCAACAACAGACTGAAGATATTTCAGCCAGCCTATTAAATTGGGGAACTGTAGCAAAAGCAGCATACTTCTATGACTTTTAGCATTAATTACCTGTTGTTACATGTTGATGGGTTTGTGTTTTTTGTTTTCCTCCAGGAGCTATGTTCTTCTTGCTAATTAGTTTGCACTGGAAGCTACGCAGTAGCTTGTCAAAAGTGAACATTATGCCCTCCTCAAAACCACACAAAAACCTTAAGGAAAATCTCTGTGATGTTCTGATAACACTTTTGAGCAATTTGGTTTTATGCTTTTTTATGTGGACTGTCTAATCATCTCACACTAATCCCATGGACATCAGACAATTCTTCAATTACACATAAAGACTTGTACAATGCTTTCTTTATGAGCTTTCTGATTAGGTTAGTACTTTTCATAAATAAAATCAGAAACACTGGCATACTTTCTGTTCTCAGGATCCCAGGGCATTTTATCACACAGATCCATTAGATCACCAAAGTTAATTGACCTGTACAGCATGGGTTTTGTCAAAAACAGAACAGAAAGCCTTTTGGAAAATTCTGGGAAAGTAGTAAGCAGAAATCCTATTTTAAATAGATATCTTGTTTGGTTTCATTTTCAAAGACGAATTCCTCCTTTTACTGCTATAAATGCCTAAAACGCCTTGATTATCAACTCCTTAAATCTAGCACATTCTTTATCAAATATTAAAATGTATCTCACTGCTGCTAAGCAATGCTGAGAATTGATAGAGGGACTCTGCACTTATTTACCTCCACAAGAAGAAGTCCACATGGCTGCCAGTGCCTCTGTTACTAATTATTCCTAGTGTTTTGCCTCATTCAGGATCTCAGCTGACAATGTGAACTATTTGGTACTGCAGGATGGCTTTTGTTCCCATGGAGCCTGTGAGCCTTTCTGCCTTTGAACATCAGCTGATTGGGTACAGAGGGGATGAAGGACACCAGCAAGTCTCAAGGTGGCCTGAGGTACCTGTCATGGAGCCACAAAAGTAGGAGTTTTCCATAGTGTATGAGGTAGGAGTGAGGAGTGACACTTACACAGGCAGGGCAGCCACAAAGTTGGTCTCTATTATCTCAATATACATCAGCTTCATTCCCTGAAATATTGATCTGCTGTTACTGGTTCACCACTGCATAAGTACCAAAACAGCAGGAAGCCCTGGCCAAGAGCATGGTCACCAAACCACCTCACAGTGCCAGCACCACTAACGCTCTATAAAATACAATTCCATTCAGCACAGCAAGATTTGTAACCAGGGCTTAAATGCCATAAAGTCAGAGCAAGTCTTTTGTATGCTCCCATGTGTCATTAACTTTTATAAAAAGGACTCAAAATATCAAAAAAAGGAAAGAAAAAATTATATAAATAAATAATAGAAAGTGAATAGATTAAAAAATAGGCAAAAGAGGATTTTACAAACATTATATGCCTGAAGCACAAGATTTACTTGTGGTACTGAAATAGAGAAAAAAAAATCCACAGATTTCATTGAGAGCAGAAAAAAAAAGGATATCTGTGTTTTCCATCTTAAATAACCCCTCCATACTGAAAATTCACTAGTACTCATCTGCCAGGACTTCATCCAGCTTCAAGGACTTCAATGGTCATAACAAAACTGGGTAACTTCTCTCTTTAGAGCTAAGTTAAGTCTTTAGTCTCATTTATGAATATTAATATCTCTGCTTTCAATGTAGGTCACTAAATTTCTTTGAGGAGTCTGTAAAATATTTTAAGCTTGAAAGGTAACCAAGAAAAGCAGGGGTATGGACATCAGACTTCCATCCACCATAGAAATTTAGTCCTTTGAAAATAGTCTAAGATGTCTGCTCATCAGAACAGTTCAAAAGCATTGCAGACATAATCATAGGAAAACAAACCAAACCAAAACTGAAATAAGATGGGGAAGGAAAGCTGTAGTGAGGAGAGGCATCTGCCCTAACAGATCAGCTTTATAAAGAAGACAGAGTAGCAGGATAT